ATACAGAGGAACCAGTAGGAATCAGTTTCTAATTAAGAAAGGTGGAGAGAACAAATGTCCAATCCAGGATATTTGATTTATTTCCACAGAATATTGCTGGCGGGAAATTTTTAAATCTGAATCGACAAAATAACCAGGTGTTCTGTCCATAATCAGTTACAACCTGAAGCCCAGAAAACAGGCCCTGGCCACAGAGGTGAATGTGAACATCCTGGCAGACAACTGGGTGGAGCTGATGCCACAAGGTGCATGAGGTCAGCAGGCCCAAATGGATCCAGCTCACAAGGCAGTAATTTCGGGGTAAAGATGCAACTAAGCAGAGAGGAGGAGAAACAGGACACTACCTTTCAAGAAACATCTGCAGTGAGGTACCTAAGGACACTAGGGTAAGGCAGTGTGCAGACTGATGGCTACGATTAGGCAACTGGTTGGGCAGTTGCTATTAACAACTTACTTATGGAGTGCGCACAGGTTTGGAGAGCGACTGGAAAATGTAGAGTATGCATCCCTGTCTAAAAAGTGAGGCAATAAAGGGAGGGCTAAGAGGTGTCAGCAGTAGGTCAAGTCCCTGGGACTGGAAAAACACCCACATTTTGTACACTCTTTGATCTACATCACGATCACGAGGTCATGAGGTGGTCACGAGGCCTGCAGCCAGTATTCTGACAGCACTATGGGATTAAACAGTGAAGTCAGCATCCCCAGTAATTGGTTATTTACAATGCAAGTGTAGCTCATATACTCCACTGAAGTTTAAATTTCTAAGGTAAAAGGAAGTGTACTAGACTGGACCAATGTGTCAATAACTTCACGTCATTTACCCGCACGGGTAACGAGAGGCCACAGTGCTATTGTTACACATTCATTAGTTCTGTAAACAACGTGAAGCTTGCCAGGTGCTGCCTACTTCATTTGCCCTGGTCTGCATGAGGACATACTCACCTCCATAGTAGAGTCCTGTAGCAGTGCACATCCGCCACTGTCCCTGATACATTCCTGCTCTGCTGGGACTGCACATCTGGACACTGACATCTGCAATCTCTTGGGGTTCTAGAGATCTCACCATCACCATGTTCACATGTCCAAACTGGTCTCCCCCGACATATTTAAGACAAACCCCTGGAGGCCAGGCCTCTGACCCTGAGTTCAAGCAAAAGAAAAAAAAGAATGTTAGGAAATCAGCAGTCCTGTGCTGGAGTTTCTTAATGAGCTGAGGAAGAGCCCTCTTCACATACACGTGCACATCTGCCCACACACCGCTGAGCAACACAATGTTTCATACCACTCAGCAAAGAGGAGCAGGGCAGTGAGCAAAAGGTACTTATGCAAAGCTGAGTAAACTCAATCTGACCTCAGATTCACACAACAGAAGAAATTCAACTCCCTTAAGTTGTCCTTGGCAGCCACAGATGCGCGCGCACACACACATACACACACACACACAGCGTTTCTCAACCTGGGAGTTAAACAACCCTTTCACAGGGGTTGCCCAAGACCATCTGAAATATAAGGTACTTACATTACAATTCATAACAGTATCAAAATTAGTTATAAAGCAGCAATGAAAATAATTTTATGGTTGAGGTCACCCCAACATGAAGAACTCTATTAAGGGTCTCTGAAAGGAAGGTTGAGGACCACTGGTCTAGAGATCTGCTACTATTGTTTGGTTATCTCATATACATGAACAAGATTTTCTAGAACAAAAGGATAACTCATATGTGCTTTATGAATTTGGAAATTAAGTTCCATATATGATTAAGGCAGTAATGCTCAATTATCACTGAATATCACATTTAAAATAAACAACAAAAAACCCACAACCCTGCATAATAACATCAGAAAAACCAAAAGGAGGGGCTGAAGAGATGACCCAAAGGTTAAGAGCATTGCCCAGAGGTCCTGAGTTCAATTCCCAGCAACCACATGGTGGCTCACAGCCATTTTTATCGGGATCAAATGCCCTCTTCTGGCATAAATCCTGCCATCAAGTTGTACATGCAGATACAGCACTCACATTCTTAAAATAAATAAATCTTGGAAGAAGGAAAGAAGGAAGGACGAAGGAAGGAAGGCAGGCAGGCAGGCAGGCTGGCTGGCTGGCTGGCCAAAAGGAAGTCATCCAGTAGCTCTAGAAAGCCTGGACATGGCCATAGCTCTGTGGCTATAGTTGTCTGGAGATGCAAGGAACCCTCATATGTCACTGCAGAAGACAAACCCCTTGGAGGTTCCCCAATAATGCTGGTGTGTGGAGGCTGCGCCATGGAGACAGACAGAAGTTCCTTCCTGCACCTGACAATGCTGAACTGTGATAAAGGAGCCCGGGAAACATCCTCTCTGTAACCAGACTGAAAAGAGGGGATAAAGTATTTCAACAATCTGAAGAAACCCCCCCCCCCCCCCGTGTGTATNGCGTGTGGCTACAGGACAATGCAATCCCAGTTACATGGTGAGACTGTCTCAAGAGGGAGGGAGAGAGGGAACAGTTGTTCTTTTTCAACTTCCTTTCATCTAGTTTCATTTTCATTTCTATGAAGCACAAAGCTCACAAACAGCTGTGCGCACACTCAAGCCACTTTCATGTGACAACCACAGCTGAAACAGTCAAGAGAGACTGCTGTCAACTGTAGTTAACCCTTGTTGGAAAAACTGCTAACAACAACAAAAAACTCTGTCTACTTACATTTTGTGTGTGTGTGTGTGTGTGTGTGTGTGTGTGTGTGTGTGTGTGTGTGTGAGCGTGCAGTGCTGGTGACTGAACCCAGGCCTTGTGCATTCAAGGTGAATTCTACCAGCCAAGCCACATGGGTCTTTCTTATATCTTTTCTAATAATGACTTTTTTTATTTTACGTACATTGGTGTTTTGCCTGCAGGTGTGTCTGTGTGAGGGTGTTTGATCCCGAGGAACTGAAACTACAGACAGGTGTGAGCTGCCATGTAGATGCTGGGAATTGAACCCAAGTTCTCTGGAAGAAAAGACGGTGCTCTTAACTGCTAAGCCATCTACATAGCTAAATATCAAAGGACTGATTTCCAATTTATGACAGTTAAACCCTCTAGGGAAGTTACTGGGACAGCTACATGCAGTTATTACGTTATCATCCATCGTGTGCTAGTCTAGTACTTAAAACAAGAGGTGCCACGACAACTACTATGTATTGAACTCTCCCAGTAAACACTTTTCTCCAAAAGCAGGCGATGAATGACAGTCAGAGACTATCAATGGCAGGTGCCTCCCTACTTCTATGCCAATGCTGAGGAAGCAGTGCACACCGCATCCTCTAACAACTCACCCCTTACTCAGTACCCAAGTCAATGGGAAGCATTCAACAACTCACAAAAGAATGAACTTTTTTTGTGCAGAGTACCTTGAAGAATAAAATTTCAAGCAATTGCTGTCACACTTTAAGAAGAATTCAGATACAAGAACTGACTTTCAGACACAGAAGTGCTGCAAGCCAACAGTTCTCAGCCCAACCGTGTTTTAGGTCAAGGTGAAAGGCAGCTTTGGAATTCTGACCTGTTACTTTAAACATCACAGACAACCTCCCCCACTTCCCAAATCTGCAGAGCTATCTCCTCCTGAGTTAATGACAGACATCAGTTTTACAGAAAGTAGAATAGCTATTCTGTAACAAATCAAGTTTTGTTGTCTTGAAACACTACCTACCCCCTCCATCTTTCTGCCTTGCCTGATTCCCTTCCTCTCTCTATCCCTCCCTCTCTCACTTTCTCTTGCTCAGGCTGGCCTGGTATTCAACATCTTCCCATCTTCAGTTTTCCAAGTATTGGGATTAACACCACGGCCAGCTTCCTCAGCCTCTTAAATATAGCCTTGTAGCAGACTGTAGTAGACCACGTCTATAACCCAAACTAAGGAGGCTGAGGCAGGGAGATGGTATACTTGAAGCTAGTCTGCACTATAGAGTAAAACCCTGTCTCAAAACAAAGCCCAGGAGCTGGAGAGATGGCTCAGTGGTTAAGAGCATTGCCTGCTCTTCCAAAGGTCCTGAGTTCAATTCCCAGCAACCACATGGTGGCTCACAACCATCTGTAATGACGTCTGGTGCCCTCTTCTGGCCTGCAGACATACACAGACAGAATATTGTATACATAACAAATAAATATTTAAAAAAAAAAAAAAACAAAGCCCAAATAAATAGCTGGGCAGTAGGCCAAGGCAGGGCTGTTTCAAAACAAATGGAAAGGTGGCTGGTGAGATGGCCGAGTGGGTAAAAGGTGCCTGTCCCAAGCCTGAAAACCAAGCTCAGTTCCCAGGCCACATAATGAAAGGAGAGAACTGACTCCACGTGTCTTGTGGCATTTGTGCACACCCATAACACAGAATTAAGTGAAATAAAAGCATATTATTTGTTGGTGGTGATGGCTCACGCCTTTGATCCCAATATTCAGAGGCTGAGGTAGGCTGATCTCTTTGAGTTCTTGGCCAGCCTGGTCTACACTGAGAAACTCTGCCTTAAGGTGGGAGGGCATGAACCAACAGAAAACCACATGTATGTTTGACAACATTTTTAGTGTATAATGTTAAGTTTGCCTAATTCTGAGAAGAAACATGAAGGTGAACTAGAGGGATGTCTGTGATTTAAAACAGGTAAATTTCAAGGTGAAATAGAAATTAAGCAAAGCAAAAATCAAAACAAAACCCAAAACAAACCTTGGCTGAGAATTTAAAGAAAAAACAAAAACCAGAAAGCGTGAGCATTTTCCTGTGTTACAAGAGCCTCCAACAGTATACTGCTGTGACCACCGGGGAGCCAGGGCTCACAGAACACACAAAATAGGGATTAACCAGAGCTGCCCCATCACAATGAACTAAACTACAAAGAACTAAAAAGGAAACCGAGTCCAAAAAAGTAATTTTAAAAAGTCTGCTTGATGGGGAAAGGAGTGGGGGTAGGGGGACTGGTATGGGAGGAAGGGGAGGGAAATGGGAGGCTGGGAGGAGGCAGAATTTTATTTTTCAATAAAAAATAAATAAATAAATCTTTTAAAAAAGTCTGCTTGGGTCCCCTAAGTCACTTTATGTCATCTCATCAAATCACCATACAGACAGCACTCACACACTCGCCTCAGCTGAGTGCCACTCTCTGCCTAGCACTCCACAGCTCAGGCTCTCTTCACTACTAAGTATGTTAAAGCATCTTCAGCTGGGAAGCAGAAACCTCCACTAGATGAGATAGAGATAAGAACTCAAAGAAGTTAACAAGCAACAGGTAGTAAGAGACACTGAATCTACCATACCCTAACCAGGTCCACTGTCAAAGAACTGTGATCAACTTACGCACCAACAAGTCAAAATGTGCTTACTCGGTCACCTTTCAGTGTTCATGCTTGTCTGAGACTGGGTCTCACTATGTAGTTAGTTCTGGTTGATCTGGATTTCATTACGTAGCCCAGACTGGCCCCAAACTTGCAGTGATCCTCTAGCCTCTGCCCCAGAGTGCTGGGATTATACCTGTGCCACTGTGCTAAATTACAATGTGTCTTATTAAAATGACTCTTCTGAACAAAATCCCACACTCCTTACCCATTTTTCAAAGTGGTCTTAATACCTCATAGACATCCCAGTGCAATTTCTGAGAGTCCTGTGGCTGCACAGGAATGAACTTCAAGGAGCCAATGACGACAGTTCTAACTAACCTGCACTAGTCAAGGAGGCACCTTCTCTGGCTGCTGAGGAGGATGAGTATTCATGAGATTGGAAGTGGGAGAACAGAGAACTCCAGGTGGAGACAATACTACATACAAGCCTAGTTTCTAGCAGCAAATGAGAGATTGTGTCTGGATGTAGCAATAGACTAAGCTTCTTTCTATTCTAAGAAGGTTCACCGGCGTCTGGTCATTGTCAATGTAAGAAAATACTACATACTGTGTACAAGAAAAAACTCAGTCAGAACACTGTAGTCATTCCATTCACAGTCTATTAAAAAAAAAAACAATCAGCATAGAAATTACCATTATACACTTACCAGAATTCTGGATCCGCCATGTTTTTATAAACTGAGTATCAGGAGGTATAGATTCCCCTTCTCCTATGGTGACGTCTTCAACAAAGGACATAGAGGGCACACTGATATTTGGGCTCTCAAAGTCATAGTAAGCGCCAATTGCTGCTTGTAAGTTCCTATAGATAAAAAGACAAAAGACTTCAGTCCTGTCGAAAGGATATTTAAATGAGCTGTCAAAACAAAGGAAAACCCTTTCTAAGGGTTGACACCAGAGCCCAAGGCTCTTACCATCCAAGCCTTCACTCATCATTGTTGAGAAACAATAGAAAATCAGGACAAACATGTGATATGGGATTCCCCTCTTTATATGTTCCTATCTGTGAATATGTTTCATTACCATTGATTAATAAAGGAGCAGCCTGAAGATCAGAAAGTAAAACATCCTCACTGGTCAGCCTTGTAGACCTCAGGCAGTGGTGACACACACCTTTAATCCCAACAGACACAGCCAAAGAAACTGAGTGGTAGTGGTGCACACTTTAATCCCGGCCCGGACAGCTCTTACACACAGTCTCATTCTGAGACTCCTGGAGGCTGAATGCCATTTTGGACTGAGGTGGATGTAAGAACCAATGGCTGGCTGTTTTGCTTTTCTGACCTTAAGGTTGTACCCCAATATCTGTCTCTGGGTTTTTATTAATCGTGCTACCCCATAATACTCATATGTCACTTTTCCCTAAAGGTACTCCACAGAGGTTATCAGACCACTATTGCTGTGGTGGAATATTACTTTCAACTAGGCAAAGATGTGTAAAATGCCTTTTACTTATTTATTTGAGAGAGTTTATCTGTGTTGCTTTGGAGCCTGTCCTGGAACTAGCTCTGTAAACCAGGGTGGCCTCAAACTCACAGAGATCCACCTGCCTCTGCCTCCTGAGTGCTGGAATTAAAGGTGTGTGTGCCACCACCTTCTGGCTTGTGTTACACCTTTCATGCTGCGCTTGTTCAATAATGCAAAGATGTCTTGTTTTGCCTGCTTAAGGCACCTGACTGATCTAATAAAAAGCTAGGCAGTAGAGGAATAGGTGGGGTTGGTGGGCAGACAGAATAAGTAGGAGAAATCTAGGCTCAAGATGAGAGAAGAGAACGAGGGAAAAAGAAAGGGAGACGCCCAGGACCGGCTAGCCAGCCAGCTAGAAACAGAGGAAGCAGGAAAGTAGAATATACAGAATGAGAGAAAAGTAAAAAGCCATAAGCAAAATGTAGATGAGAGAAACAGGTTAAATTAAGTTTTAAGTGCTAATGGGACAAGCATAAGGTAAGGCTGAGTATTCATAACTAATATTAAGTCTCCATGTCATGATTTGGGTTGCTGGTTGGTGGCCCAAAAGCCTGCTACTGCTACAGCTCTAGTCATGCATGTATAGGTGTGGGTGTGTGCATGCCATGGTGCACATGTAGCAATCAGAAAGAGCCTGTGGGAGTCAGTTTTCTCGCTCAACCATGTGACTCCTAGGGATCGGACTCCAGGCATAAGGCTTGGTGGCAAACATCCCTATCCACTGAGCCATCTGGATGGCCTAGTTCCACTTTTAAAGCACTCTATTGACTTAGTTTTTTGGAAAAAGCAATCCATGCATATGATACAAAATCTAAAACATAAAACATGCTACCTCTTCCCTCAACATCTGTACACCAGGACAGTGTTTCTCCCAGTGTCCATGTGCGCACAATGCAGAGACAGTGTGGGTTCTTTCTTCCCACAGCAGATAGCTGCTCTTGCTTTATTACCTTAACTCTGGGTCTTGAAAGTATTTCAGTGATGAGTAGTCTCACTGTCTATTGTAGCTGTAGTCATTAGCCAATCAACTACTGTTTCTAACCTTCAATTTTCCCAGAGTTTAAGCGTCTACCACCTTGTAAGCAAGCATATTATTGAACAAATCCCTTTATGTGATACTTCTCAGAGGATGATTTGTATTTTCATTATTGGATAAAAACTTCCTTCAATAAAGATGTAGAACAAGGGCTGGAGAGATGGCTCAGAGGTTAAGAGCATCGCCTGCTCTTCCAAAGGTCCTGAGTTCAATTCCCAGCAACCACATGGTGGCTCATGAGTAATGGGGTCTGGTGCCCTCTTCTGGCCTGCAGGCATACACACAAAATATCGTATACATGATAAATAAATAAATATTTTTTTAAAAAAAAGATGTAGAACAATGCTCTACTACATGTATGACAGCATCTGCCTCCCTGCTCATTGACGGTCAGTGTTTCTTCACTGTGGTGAACTTCTGCCAACTTGTTAAGTAAAATATCTCACTGACATTTTAAAATGCTTTCCTCTTTGCTGCATGTGGTGGTGCAAGCCTATAAGCACCTGGGAGGATGTGGTAAGAGGATTACAGTTGGAAGCCAGTCTTAGCTAAATATGGAAACTGTTTTTTAAAAAACATTCTTAAAAGAAGTGATCAGCTGGGCAGTGGCAGTCGGGAGGCAGGGGCAGGCAGATCTCTGTGAGGCCAGCCTAGTCTACAAAGCTGGTTCCAGGACAGAAGACTACACAAAGAAACCCAATCTTGGAAAACCAAAGATAAGTAATTAAGTAAATAAATAAATGAGAAAAGACTACTTTTTTACATGCTTAAGAGCTTGGTAGTATGGGTTGAGGTACTGGAGAAGGGGGTCAGTGATTAAGAGCACTTCTTGCTCTTACAAAACTGGGGTTCAATTCCCAGCAACCACATGGCAGCTCATTGTAACTCTAGTTCCAAAGGATTCAACACCCTCTTCTGACTTCTGAGGGCACTAGGTATGCATGTGATGCACATATAGACATAAGGGCAAAACATTCATACACATAAAATAATCTTTAAATTTTAATAAGAGCTATTTGTGGGTCTGAAGAGATCAAAGGCACTTCTGGAATGATATTAAGGGATTCTTGTTTATCACCAGTTCTCATAGAAAACAGACCAACCTATAACCCAACTGTGAGGCAACGAGTCAGTGAGCTCTTTTTACCATTTACAAAATCAGCAGGAAACAAGCTTGACAGTCCACAACTGCACAACGTACACCTAGGAGAAGCAAATACTTTCTAGCTAGGGCCTCTGTGACTGCTTTCTCCAGGTGTTTGCAGCTTCCAGAAAGGTAGGCTATACTTAGAGCAAGCATCATGTGATGGTGGCCACACTAACCAGCTGCATGTCTGTCCTGTGCGTCTGGAGCAGAGTTGGGCCAGGGGCCAGTCTACACCTGTCCACTCTACTGCTGCATACCAGGCAGTTTCCTTTGTAGATAACATGAGCAAAGCCATGAATATGTGACTTGCTAAAGCTGAGGTGGCGCACACAGACTCAGAAGCACACAGCAATCAGTCCTACTCTTACGGACTGAAGATAAAGTGAAAGAAAATTACACTTAGTTTTCACTTAGCTCATCTGAAACATTTTATATAAGCTGTGTCCTTTGTTTTATAAAGATTGATTTCCTGCCTCCCTCTCCTATTAGCGACCTGCATATAGAATCTTCTGCTATAGAATCCAACTGGGAGGGATAAAGTCTTGCACAGCGAAGACAAACAGCGACTCTCACTGCAGTTTGTGTATCTCAACCTGAGTTTGCCATCAGGCAGGTCTCCCTGAACTGGAGAAGAACAAGCCAGGCCACGCTACTTACTAGGCAGAAACTCCCCTTTGTCAAGCCCCTCCCATGCATCCTAATTCATTGCTCAGCCATACCTGCTTAGTACAGGTAATTTAGCCGGAAAAAGACCAAAGACCTCATAAAGCTCAAACTTAGAATAAAAAAGTAGTGAACTGGAATACCGACCAGAGGATGGAGGAAGTGACAGAACAAATGATTTCCCCAGAGACAGGTCACCAAGCATGGCTGCACATCTATCTCCTCAGGGTTCCAGTCACAGATTAGTGCCCTGGGCTTGGGCAGAGCCAGAGCAAGACCAGATCTAAATGGAATTGTTCAGTGTCAGCCTGTCTCCAAACAGCATACTCTGCTGTGGCCATGGGAAAGGAAGAGAACTGGCTTCCTCAGTGCTTCCAGACAGAAACAGCCTTCAAAAACGATAAATAAAACAGCACAGGGCCCAAGAACAGTTTGAAGGGTCCAACACTGTACAGATCCTTAACCACATACATCAGATGACTGAAGAGTTACACTGCAATGTCACTATCACAAAAAAGAAAAAAAGAAAACTTTTTGTTGTTGTTTTGAGACAGGATCTCACTATAGCCTTGGCTGTTCTGGAATTCAGTTAAGTAGAGCAGGCTGGTATCAAACTCAGAAAAACACTTGCCTTAGTCCCAAGCACTGGGATTTAAAAATGTGCTACCATGTCTGACAAAAAAAAAAAAAAAAAAAAAAACCTTGAAAAGTGTTGTGGAATAATCTTTTCGCACACTGTGAAGATCTGTTTAATAAAAAGCTGAGCAGCCAATAGGTAGGCAGGATTTTTGGGACACAGAAGGAACAAGGGAACAAGGGAAGAGACACAGAGTCACACACCCAGATGAAGAAGAAACAGTATGGGCAGTACAGAGTAAAGGTAATAAAGCCATCAGACAAAAAGTAGATTGATAAGAATGGGTTCATATAAGTTGTAAGAGCTGGTCAGTAACAAGCCTAAGCCACTGACCAAGCGTTTATAATTAATAATCTGTGTGTTGTGATTTGGGAGCAGGCAGGAGAGACAAATGTCACAAGGCAAGGTGCTATTTGAAGGCAGATTTAAAAAAAAAAA